GGATGTATGGAAGAGTGCTGTGTGTTGAGAGCCACAGCTGAAGGGGCCCCAGCAAACTTCCAGCTGCCAGCAAACTTCCAGCTGCCAGCTGATGATTGGCTCACAGTGGCCCCAGCAAACTTCCAGCTGCCAGCTGATTGGCTTCTCTGCAGTAATGCTTATTGGGCTGTTTCCCAGCCCTTTCAGACCACGGAGCTCCTCATTGGGGGACTTTTTGTGGCTCCGCCCATGCGACCCAGCCAATCATCCTCAAGAGCAGGAGGAATGGGGGGGGGATTGAGAGGCTTGTGGGAAGCCGGTGGTGGCAGTTGGGCTCTGAGGGAATTCCTGAAGAGCTTGTATGGTGTGGCTTGTGTGTTCTAAAAATAAAGTTCATTTCTGCTTGATAAGTGGCTCCTGAATTGTGCCCAGCCAGACTGTGACATTTGATGGCCCATGAGGGAATGACTGAGGGTAAGTGATAAGGTAAACTGCTCGCCCCTGAGGGCAGGGCGAGAGGATGGGTAGCCATTTTAAGATTCTTCTTTTGTTTTGTTTCGCTTTTGTTTTAAGTTGCCTGTCCCTGGAGATGTGTAAGATGGAAGAAAAACCGCTCACAACTGAGGAAAAACTATTTGTGTCTAAGGAACAGATAGGGAGAAAGGATGGATGTACATTTCAGGAGGATAGAAAGGCTATTATAATGATTTTTTGTTGTTCCATTTTTGTTTCATTCTATTTCGGTTTTATTTGGTGTTATCTTGTTGGGTTGTATTATAGTAGAAATATGGAATCAGAAATTAGTAAAAAAACAAACTGAAAGGCTGTTAAGTAAATTGTTAGAGGAAGGAGGCATCTCAGTAAAATCAAGAACAGTCAGGACATACGTTGATACAATACAAAAATACATGGCTTTTTAAGGAGGAGTTGTTAAATATATCACAATGGGACCATCATAGTGAAGATTTAAGGGAAAAGGAAAAGAAAAACCCAGGAACTCTGCCAGTTGGCACATTGCCATTGTGGGTGTTGGTATCTTGGTTACTTAGTCCAAAGCCTTCAGTTCAGACAATGGTAGAGGAAGGAGAAGACATATTGATTCAAGTAAAAGAGAAGGTCTCTCAAGTTAGTCAGACAGAGGAAAAAAAGAAGATCTCTCCAGCTAGTCAGAGGAAAAAATTCAAGTAAAAGAGAAGGTCGCTCAAGCTAGTCAGAAAGAGGAAAAAATTCAAGTAAAAGAGAAGGTCTCTCAAGCTAGTCAGACAGAGGAAGAAAGTTTAGAGCATAAAAAGCCATCAGGGGAAAAGTTACAACAGGAGACTGATACTAACACCTTTCTATCACCAGAGGGTATAAGTGTCCAACCAACAGCGCCACCTCCATATGCTGGGAGGCCTCCAACCCCTGTGGTTGATAGATGGTATCCTGAGATAGGACCTCAAATATTAACATGCCCTGTATTTGAACAGGCAGGAGGGCAGCAAATTCACCATGCTTTAGATTTCAAAACAGTGAAGCAGCTAAAAGAGGCTGTAACAACCTATGGTCCTCAAGCACCCTTCACTGTAAGCATGGTGGAATCCATTACCAACTTGAACATGACGCCAGCAGATTGGGCTAGTATTGTAAAGCTGTGCTAAATGGAGGACAATATACCTGTTATGGAAGGTTGCCAATGAGGAATTTTGCAAGGAGTCGGCTAGGTGAAATGAAGCAGCTGGTTATCCTCAGAGAAATCTAGATATGTTGTTAGGAAAGGGACCTTATGAGGATCAGCAGCAACAAATTGCATATGATCCTGCCATATACTCACAAATTGCTGTAGATGCGGTTAGGGCATGGAAGACTTCACAAGGACATGGAGGTTTACAAGGTCAATTATCTAAGGTAATACAAGGAGCTAATGAACCTTACGCTGAATTTGTAGATAGGCTTATTCAAACAGCTCAGAGTTTTTGGGAATACAGAACAAGCAATGCCATTAATAAAACAACTGGCTTATGAGCAAGCGAGTAGTTGGTGCAGAGAAGTCATTAGACCATGGAAACATGAAGATTTAAGCACATATATTAAATTATGTAGAGACATTAATGAACAAGGGCAAGTCTTGGCAGCTGCAGTACAACAGGTTTTAGATGCCAGGCCAAAAATATGCTACAATTGTGAACAAACAGCACATTTTAAAAGGAATTGCCCCATAGGAGGAGGGTTTAACAAAACTAGGTATCAAAGGAGTAGAATACTGGGTATTTGCCCACGATGCCATAGAGGGAGACATTGGGCTAATGAATGCCGTTCTCAAACCACCATAGAGGGTACTCCATTATCAAAAAATGAACGAGGACCAGGTATCTATCCACGATATCGTGGAGAAAGGCATCGGGCTCCATTGCCAAAAAATGGACAGGGGGGCCCAATGCTCCAGGGCCCAAGACCACAAATATACGGAGCACTGGAGGAACCCAGCAACCCCACCAGGGTAGTACACAGGACACATTGTCCATTAGATCCCTCATCAGACAAACCAGAGGGAGCGCAGGATTGGACATCTACACCTCTGCCAGAACAGTACTAACTCCAGAGATAGGAGTTCAAATCATTCACACAGGGGTAAAAGGACCTCTTCCCAATGGAACAGTAGGCTTATTATTGGGACGCAGTTCTTCTGCTCTAAAAGGACTTATGATAAGTCCTGGGGTAATTGATCCCGATTATGAAGGTGAAATAAAAATTATACCCAGTTCTCTAAAGGGTTTATCAATAATTTCACCAGGAGATAGAATAGCATAGTTACTAATAATACCAAGCCTACATGATAAATTTTCCAGTTGTACTATAGAAAGAGGTTCCAGGGGATTAGACTCCACAGGTGTAGATTGGGCTATGCTTTCTTTAAATTTAGATTCTTGCCCCATGCTAAAACTAAATATTCAAGGACATGAATTTAATGGGCTACTGGATACAGGTGCAGACCTTAGCATCATCTCTCGTCAAGAATGGCCAAAACATTGGCCATTACAACAAGCCATTCAAATGCTTTCAGGCCTAGGAGTGGCGACTAATCCTCATAGAAGTGCAATGGTATTAGATTAGAAGGATCCTGAAGGATGTGAAGGAACTATATAGCCATATGTATTAGATCATCTTCCTATAAATTTATGGGGATGAGATGTCCTAGATCAATTAGGTTTGACATTAGCAAATAACATCAATCCAAATGCACCCACTATTAGGGCTAGACAAGGTTTTAGGAAAGAAAAAAGATTAGGAGAACAAAAATAAGGTATAGCAGCACCAATTCAAATAGATCAAGGAATAAATAGACATGGATTGGGTTTTCAGAAGGGGTCACTGAGACAATAAAAATTACTTGGAAATCAGAAAGACCAGTATGGGTTCCTCAGTGGCCCCTGACTAAAGAAAAGATACAAGCAGCCCATGACCTGGCCAAACAACAATTAGCGGAAGGACATATACAACCTTCTGTATCTCCCCATAATACTCCCATTTTTGTCATCAAAAAGAAATCTGGTAAATGGAGATTATTGCAAGATTTAAGAGCCATTAATAATGAGATGGTTATTATGGGACCTGCTCAATCGGGGATTCCTCAATTGTCTACTTTGCCAAAACCCTGGTATGTTTTAGTTATAGATATTAAAGATTGTTTTTTTCAATTCCAATTCATCCTGAGGATAGTCCACGTTTTACATTTACCATCCCTGCACTGAATCATGAAGGTCCTGATCAGAGATATGAATGGAAAGTACTCCCTCAAGGGATGGCTAACAGCCCAACTATGTGTCAAATTTATGTTAACAAAGTAATCCAGCCACTTAGAAATCAAAATCCTGAACTACAAATATTTCACTATACGGACAATGTATTTTTTACCACACAAAGCTAAAAACACATTGCTAGAATGTTATGCCATACTTACAAACTTATTAAAAAATTATAATCTAGAGATAGCAATAGATAAAGTACAATTAAATTTTCCAATTAATTATTTAGGAGTTCTATTATCCTCAACCATGGTCCATCCACCAAAAATTCAAATATGAGTAGATCAACTCAAATCCCTTAAAGACTTTCAAAAGTTATTAGGAGTCATAAATTGGATAAGGCCTTCTCTAGGCATACCAACAGGAGAGTTGCGACCTTTATTTGATATCAATAGTCCCCCAATGAGCAGCTCTGTGGTCTGAAAGGGTGGGGAAACAGCCCAATGAGCATCAACGCAGAGGAGCCAATCAGCTCCCAGCTAGAAGTTTGCTGGGGCCGCTGTGAGTCAATCATCAGCTGGCAGCTGGAAGTTTGCTGGGGCCCCTTTGGCTGTGACTCTCAATAGTTATGTTTGGATGGGACTTGTTTCTCAACGGTTCACATGCTGGCACCTGGTCCAGAGTGCAGCGGTATTGAGGTGGTGAATTTCTAAGCGGTGGAACCAGGTGAAGTTAACTGGTCATTGGGGTACATCCTGTCTCCTGGTACTCTGTTAATTCCTGTGAGAATAAGCTGTTATAGAGAGAGTTCATTTGTCTTGAGTTTTTCACTTGGTCATAACAGGTTTCCCTTCCACTGCTCAGTCATGCATGATGCAGCCAGGGAATCTTTATCAAGATGCCAATGTTATGCTTTTTGGACCTTCCAGTTGCCAGATTAGTGAGCCAAATAAACTTTTTTTTTTCAGGGCTGAGGACTGAACTCACGGCCTTGCACATGCTAGGCAAGTGCTCTGCTACTGAATTAAATCCCCAAACCCCAAAGTAAACTTTTTAGGAAAAAAAATATATATACATAAATATGTCTGTGTGTTTATTTATTTATTTATTTATAGATGGACACAATATCTTTATTTTTTATTTATGTATTTTTATGTGGTGCTGAGGATCGAACCTAGTGCCTCACACATGCTAGGTGAGTGTTCTACTACTGAGCAACCCTAGCCCCCAAAGAAACTTTTTTATAAGCTACCCACCTTTTGGTCCTTGTTATGAAAACAAAACAAACAGAAATAGTAAGACCAAAAAGTGTTATTTAAACTCTTCCACACCCACATTGCAAAACTTTGACTTCTTTCCCCAGTGGCATCAAAGTCCTTCAGTTGGTGTGTGAGCCAGAAATTCCTGGGCATGCTCATTGCCTAGTACATCAGGAATACAGTCTTCTGGCTTAGTCTCATCTTCCTAAATGAAGGGAACAGTGTGTAAACAACATGGCAACAAAGCATCAGAATTTTTTTCCCTTCTTCCTACCAACACACTATTGCCTTGCTTTCTCTTAAATCATCCCCAGTAACAAGAGAGACAAATTATACCTGATAGGAGAAATAGGAAATCAATGTAGAATTATACCAGAAAAATAACTTTCTTCAGAACAAAATAGACTTTACTATTGGGAAGTTATAGGGAAGCATGAGTCTGTTTTTCATACAGAAATGATTTGTGAGCTCCACATTCTGATGTAAATTAGATGCAATGATCAAAAGAAAGGTTCCATTCCCTCAAAATGTGTGGAATCAAGCAAGGCATAAAACTGAAATAGAGATAGGCATGCAGCTTAGTGGTAAAGTATTTGCCTAGCATGTATAAGGTGTGCAAGTATGTCTAACAGAATAATCAGAGTACAGATATCACACTAACCTTGATAAGTCCAGGAGGAGGTTTTTCATAGCTAAAAAGAAAAAAAAACAGGAAGCAAATCTTCATCAACTATATTAACAGAATCAAACACACCAAATTAATGCAAAGCAGAGCTATAGCATTATTAATTAGACATTTTAGCAAGGATAAGCATTTCTCATCTGGTTTGCAGACCAGGAATCACCTCAGAAGTGTGGAAAGGTTCCCCTGCCTAGGTTCTCAGCTATACTCAACTATCAAACACTCCCCAGATTGTCGTTTTTACCCTTGAAGGACTGTACTCTGTGGTTTTTTAAAAAATATATTTTTAGTTGTAGATGGACATGACATCTTTGTTTTATTTATTTTTTCATGTAGTGCTGAGAATTAAACCCAGTACCTCACATGTGCTAGGCAAGAACTCTACCACTGAGCCACAACCCCAACCCCTAAAACTCTGATTTTCTAAAAAATATTTTTAGTTGTAGATGGACATGATATCCTTATTTTATTGATTTTTTTATTGTGGTGCTGAGAAACAAACCAGTGCCTCACATGTACGAGGCAAGTGCTGACTGTACTCTGAAGAGACCAGAGGCTGGATGTGAAATGCTTACATTTCAGACAAATGTCTAAAGGGGAAAACACTGTACAGTCATCTACTTGCTCACAGAACAAATCTCAGGCTTTTAAAGGCATCTATACTGCTTCTACAAAGAGTAACACATAAATGTGGTTGGTTTAGATCTGTGCCGCACTCCTCTATGCTTGCAGAGAAGCACTCATTTTAATATTTCAGAATGGATGGAAAGGACAGAAACACAATGTAATGTTTTCTTCATTCTGGCTCTTCTTTTTTTTTTTCCCCCTCTGACTCTCAAATAGTGTTTAAGAGACCATTCAGTGGAGAATGAAAATTAGGAATGAAAGTCAAGGAGAATACACTGAGGGAAAAGTGAAATGATTTTCCATCTCCTCTTCTGTTAAGATGTGGGAGAAATCACTTGGTAGATGAAGCATGAGAAATGTCCACGTCACTAATTCAGAGCTTTTCTAAGGGTCAGAGGAGGATCTGTCTCCTTAAGATTACCTAGTAAATGAATGGATATGAACAGAATTAGCTTCTTAGAATTGGCACAGTGCTCTTCCCCAAACTGATACTTGGCTAACTGATGCTAGGCAAGTGCTCTATCACTGAGCTATATATCCCAAGCCCTGATTATCTTAAGACAGGGTCCTGCTAAATTTTCCCAGGCTGTCCTCCAACTTTAATGATCCTCCTACCTCAGCCCCCCAAGTAGCTGGAATTAGAAGCATGCTCCCCAACCCCTGGCTTTAAAGTATTAACAGGAATGTGTGTCATGACACAGGGCTAATTCAACAACAGCAATGGAAATATGAACAACCTGACAAGATGGTAGACCCCATCTGGTAGCCATTTGTTAGAAATATTAATATGATGCCTCAAGCATCTGGACTGAAACGAGTTTGGTAGTAAAGTATATAAATCCCCAAATCCAATAAACACATCATTTTAAATCTTAGGAGTTGAACAAACAACAAAATATGGCTAATTAAATTTAGAATCAAGCTGAGTGTGACGGTACATGCCTGTAATCCTGGAGTCTAGGGAACTTGAGGCACGATTGCTACTCTGAGGCCAGCCTCAAAAATTTAGCCAGACCCTGTCAAGAAAAAAAAAAAAGACTCAAATTCATGACTAAAATATATTTTTGCCATGATGAAAAAGAATATGCTGTTTTGCAATATTTTGTTGTTGTTGTTGGTTCTGGGGATGGAAGCCAGGGACACTTGACCACTGAGCCACATCCCCAGCCCTGTTTTGTATTTTATTTAGAGACAGGGTCTCATTGAGTTGCTTAGTGCCTCACTGTTGCTGAAGATGGTTTTGAACTCAAGATCCTCCTGCTTTAGCCTCCCAAGCCCCTGGGATTACAGGTGTGCACCACCATGCCTGGCTCTGTTTTGCAATATATTAACATTAGAAATGGCATTTTCTAAAAAATCCATTTTACAACTTGTTTCATAAATCTGTGGAAAGGTGGCTGATATTTATTCTTAGTGCTAACCAATTCACCAATGTAACACATTAGAAAAGATACTTCTCAATGTTTAAAATAATATTTAAGTACTAAATATAAGAAATTACAAAACTGGAATAACGTTATGTACCTTTAGATTCTGAGCTGTGACAGTTTAAGATATCTGCATTTGGCTGGGGATGTAGCTCAAATGTAAGCCTGGGCTTAGTAATAGCACCCTTATCTACTATGACAGAAAGTTAATAGATTAGCCTAGAATTGTTGACTCTAAGAAAACAGAATATAGTTTAGAAAGATGCAGTTACATCTCAGAAGTATAAGCTAACTGGGCTTGGTGGCATATGCCTGTAATCTCAGGAACTCAGGAGGCTGGGGCATGAGGATCAGAAATTGAAGGCCAGCCTCAGCTACTTAATGAGAACCTATCTCAAAATAAAAAATAAAAAAGGACAGGAATGTGGCTCAGTGGATAAACATAAACACCCCGGTTCAAAAAAAAAAAAGTACAAAAATAAAACATGAAATTTTATTTGGGGCAGGCCACAGAGAACATGTGGGGTTATTGAGGAGTTAAGCAGTCCATTACTTTTTTTTTTAATTAGTTGTTGATGGGCCTTTATTTTATTTATTTGTGGTGCTGAAAATCGAACCCAGTGCTTCACACATGCTATGCAAGCATTCTACCACTGAGCCATAACCCCAGCCCCAGTCCTTTTTTTTTTTTAGTATTTCTAGTATCATTTTATTTTTAAAAATACTATATATAAGTGTTCTCTGATGTTAGAAACCAAACAAGACTCCAAAATGGCCAAAAGCAAACTTGTCAACAACCCACTCTGTTTTAAGTTTCTTCAACTGGCAAAACCCCTACTAGTGTGAGAATCTGACCATTGGATTCGGCTCTAGATTTGCACATAAATTGGTCACTGTATCCCTGACCACACAACTTAACTACTCAATCTCAATTTTCTGTAAAAGCATGTTTTAATCTTTTTTCAGTGGTGAATAAAGGTCTATGAGTTACAGAAAAAGTCCATAAATATTGATAGCTGGGTAGGGCCGGGCCCTGCTTGGCCTTAAACTAGGAAAAGATCTTTGAACATCTATCTGGCTTGCATGGGAAATCTAGTGTGCACTGAATGACTTCAACGGACCAAACCCCATCTATAATGTGGATGCCAGAAATGCAGGGCCTGTATCCTCTATCTACTGCCCTGATGAAATTAAAAATATTCAGCTTTTGGGCCAGACTCCCAGCAAAGGAATACATTCATCAGAGGTTTAACAACATTAATTAGGAAAGATTTTAGAAATTTCTTGAGACTCTTTCCTTATATAACTTACCTAACACAGGTAACTAAAAGTGTTTGAAACAGAAACAAATTATTGAACGCGTGACTACCAAATTTAGAAATATTTGAGTTTTATGGCTAACTACAGAATCATAAAATGAAGGGAATGATAATATAATCTCCTGCCTGATATTTGTGATAGGTGTCAGAACAGCGCCCCCACAATCCTATTTAGACTGCCTGAAACTGGAATATTCCACCCCCCCAATATAAACCCCTGGCATACATTGAGCTAAAAGAAATTCAGACCCTGCCAAAACAGGAAAACTTTACTAACCCTTCAATTGTCTAAAATAATTTGTAAGAATTCTCTTTTATAAGGAGAACTTTACATCTAAAAGATAAATTTTTCTTAGTTCATATGCTAAGAGGAAGAGAACAGCTTGGATCAATTGTTATCACTTCAGACTTTTTGAAAAACAAGTCAACCTTTATGCCTCCATTCAGTGTCTTAATCTGTCTCCACACCTCTCAGAAGCCCCAAAGCCCTATTCCTAGATTCCTCCTCCTCTCAATTAGTTAGTCCTTGAAATTAATTAATCAATGTTTGTTTTACTAAGGATTAAGCCCAGAGCACCCTACCATTGGGTTACAATCCCAGCTTTAAAATAAAAAACTTTTTTTATTTTTAATTTTTTAAATTTTAAGATAAGTCGCCTAGTCTTGCCTGGAACTTGAGATCCGAGTGCCCGGCTTCCCTGGCTCTTTCTCGCGTCTCTAAACTAACATGGCTTTTCCCTTCTCAGAGTGTTTCATGCACATTTAGCAGAGCCCACTCAAAGAACTTAGAAGGGCAGATTCAGATTCCACTTGACTCTCCTCTGCAGCCCGCGCTCTCCAGGTCGTCTGGTCTCCTGGAGGCCTCTGGAGCGAGGGGACACGGAGCTGCCTCGACCCGGCCGGGTGGACTGTGAACCACCGCATCCCGAGCTCCGGACGCCGAGCTGCAGCGCCTTCTGCACTGCCTTGAGGGCTGAGGACTGCTCGCCGACCCCGCCGCCAGCCTTGGGACGCTCAGGGCCAGCTCTTGGGCGGGTCTTCGGGGCTCCAGTCTCCTCCCCTTAGCACAGCGACACGCCCGGGGCTCCTCTTCCCTCTTAACGGCCGAGGATGAAGGGTCGGGGGTCGCCCCTTCGCGGTGGGCCATCAAAGGGAACGAGTCCCCAAAAGTGCCCAGCGGGGCGTGTTTGTCACTCGGTCCACCAACGCCGCCCGCAGCCTCCCCGGGGCCGATGCCGCACTCTTTGTGCGCGGAAGATGCCTCGGGGGCCCGGGTCCCCCGCGCCC